AAACGTTTAATATTACTCAGACCAATGTGTAGTGATGGCAAAATGAAGCTTTGAATGAAGCATCGAACCACTTGGACAATTGTGTCGGAAATAGGTTCATTTCTCGAAGCTTCAGTTACAGCGACCTCTCCTGGCGAAGTGCAAGGCTGCAGTGGGTTTAACGTATCTTTGTCTTGAAAAATATTCGATGAACACACACACTAAGACTGAATACCATGTTCTATTTGCAATTAAAGATTGATAATTGTGTGTATTGGGTTATTGAGAAGAGAGAGAGTGCTGGACATTTTTTTGGGCGGAGAGGGCCTTTTATCAGTTATTAAAGTTGAAAAGCAATGATTAAAATACATCCATTCAGGGCTTTGAACCAGCTGCAGGAGGACATCGCCGCATTCGGGCCCCCGGCTCTACCCACTGGGCTATCTATTCCTTAAAATATTGAACTGTTTTTATATTACTCATAATTGTCTTTTTGTTCCCGAGCCAGAACGACCTGGCTTCTTCCTGGCTTGCTCAATAATGATACTACAATTCAAATGCAATACCAACAACAACTCAATAGCAACAACGCAAACCACGACAACAACCCACACATTGCGCATTGTTTAGAGCGGTCCTAAAGTGTTGAAGCGCTCAAATTCGAAACTGTTTCAACCTGTCACCTGTCAGAATCGAGACGAGGCAGTGCATTGAATCGCGTGAATGGACCGCGAACCAGTCAAGTGATTCATTAAGGAAATGAAGCAGTTGCTGCTTCGGACGTCACATGTCACGTGATTTGAAGCAGTTGCTGCTTCGGACGTCATATGTCACGTGATTTGAAGCAAGCTTCGAAGCACTGCTGCTATGGAATAGGAAGTCCAGGGTTGAAGCTCCGTTCGAAGCTTCAGTGTCAAACTGCCATCACTACCAATGTGGTTGCCTGGTGTTTCCAATTGTTGGAACTGTGTGGAGCTGCTGGTTTCTGGTCTGCGAGGGATAAAGATATTAAAGGAAATATATTGTCAGGGTAGAGTGAAGCAGGCAGGACCCAAATTCAGATTTAAACAGAACAATTCTTTATTTCAAGGCTAAATAGACACGAACAGAACTCTTCCCCGTGAAACAGTCAAGACAAACAAGGATCTCACAAAGACTAACAGGAAAAAACGAACCTAAATGCACACAGGACTAATCAAAGAACAAGAGACAGGTGAGGAGGGAGGAGGAAACACAGGGGCACCAGGTGAACACAATCAGGAGATCAGACACAGGAGGGCAAACACAGAGGCAGGAATCAACAGACAAGACAGGGGGCGAACCCTTTCAAAATAAAACAGGAAACCAGAGACGGACAAAACACAACACAGACAGACTGTGACATACATAATAATTAAAAGTAATGTTACCTCCAACACAAATAATATCAGAATATGAACAGAGTCATGTCAGAAAGTGCAGACACACTGTAAAAGATGCAGCTCCAAAAACAAGTCAATATAGAATAAAACAAGGTGTTTTCTCTTTTAATGAGTGAACAAACTGCCAATAGAACAAGAACTAAATGTCTTGGTGAGATGTCTTGAAGTAAAGATGGAATAATTAGATAAATGACATCTTGTGTTTAGCTGGGAAACTTATTCTGAACTGTTTGACCAGAATCAGGGAATTTGTAACAAGAAAAGCCAGAAATGCTCAGATTCTGTTTCCTGATGTCAGCTGGAGATGTTCTTCTAAAATAAGATGTTTTTAAGAGACTTTGACTCAAAAGGATGCTTAAGATGCCTTGTCTAAAAACAAGACTTCAGTTATTAAGTCTTATATCAAGTGTAACGACATATTCTGACTAGAAATTAGACAACTATACTTGGCAAGATTGTAGATGTTAGCAGTGCACACTTGAACTCAGGCTTTCAGAGAGAGACGTGATAACATGTACGATGAGATGCATCTTGATCTGATTCTGAATGACTTGTTTTGATGCAGATTGTCCCCCGGTCCTGTCTCTGACCCGGCACCATGAGTCCTGAGCTGCAGCTCCTCCTGCTGGTGGCTGCAGGGAGCGCAGGTAAACACAGGGACTCAGTGCATTCACTCAATGCTACACTTCTCTGCAAAACTACTCAAAAGTAGAACAAATAACCTGCAGACATCAACTAGTTGTTAACATGCATATTAGCAGTATATTGGCTCTTTATTAGCCCTTAGATGCCCTTAGAGTGACTGGACCCTACACTCTTCCATAAGTGGGTCAAAAAGGACCCGTATTAGAATCATATGTGTTTTTATGCCATTTTTGTCATTTTGGTTCAGAAAGATCACTTGTATAATATTTAGTAATATATTTTGGTTCACACTAGAAATATTTCATATTTAATTTTTTACTATTTATAATTTTAGATTTTTTTTTACATATTGTCCCAAAGATCTCCGCTATTCTGAGACCCTCACAGTATTCCAGTCCCTTTTCAAAACTCATCTCTTCTCCTCTGGTCTACTCATAGCCCACCCCCCATCAATCCATGCCGGCTGATCAAGTCTGAAAGTCCTATACCCCCCACCCCTAACCTTCCCTTATATTGTAAAGTGATGTTGAGTCATTGAAAAGCCCTATACAAATATAATGTATTATTATTATTATTATACTGACAGGTTTCAGATCTTGCTGTGTAAACTAATCTTCCTGAGAGGTGTCACTTGTGCTGTCGTCTGTGTGTTCCACAGTGAATGTATTCCTGACAGCAACAGGGTTAGAATCAAAGGTTCCCAGAGGATCCCATAGGAAATGCATGCGGGTCATTTTCGACCCACTTATGGAAGCTTGGGGTAGCAATACAAAAACTACAATTTCTTAAAATGTAAATTTAAAATGTGAATGGCATGATATCCAAAACATGTTTTTGAGGAATAGCTGGAATATGAAATGATAACAATTTTTAATTACAAAGATACTTCAAGAAAACCACCTCACCGGGTCCAAAAAGACCCACTTATGCATCTAAGGGTTAGTCATTATAAAACACTTATTAATGCCTTATTCTGCACGATCATATTCTGCAAGTAATAATCCATTAGTTGAGAGTTTTTCCTCAATGACCCTCTAATTAGTGCTTATTGATTGTAAGTAAGGAAGTTCAATCAGGAGAGACGTGATGTATGGAATACATATTTATTATCGGTCACATTATATAAATGAAACATAATGATGACAGTTTATAACAAGTAAATGAAATGGTGTTTTGGCGATTAGGCCCAGGTTTTGTAGGATATCAATCGGGAAGGGAAGAACCGTTTCCGATGAACCCCCCTGGGTCTAGACACTGGTGGTGGTGATAAGTGGTTAGGTCCGGTTGGAAGGGAGAAGGTTAAGCTTGGCCCTGAGTTGAAAGCAGGAGGCGAAGGGGTGGAGGAGGGTTGCGCATTGACACCTGGAAGACAGCTGATAGGAAAGGGGAGAGCATATATAGAGGGATTAACAGGTGCGATGATTAGGCTTGTAAATGGAGGGGAGTGATAGGTTAGCTGAGGAGTGGCGCTCCCTGTCATTTAGTGCAGGGAGCGAGTATTGCCATGATGTGCAATACGGAGTGATAGGTCTTCCTGTCTGAACTTGCGCTAAGCTTCATTTCAATCAGGAGAGACGTGATGTATGGAATACATAGTTATTATCGGTCACATTATATAAATGAAACATAATGATGACAGTTTATAACAAGTGAATGAAATGGTGTTTTGGCGATTAGGCCCAGGTTTTGTAGGATATCAATCGGGAAGGGAAGAACCGTTTCCGATGAACCCCCAAAAGAATGAAGTATGAAGTACTGAACGTGAAGAATCTTACCTTGTGGGATGCAGTGGAAATCTATGGATGGAAATGAGAGGTTAATACATGTGAGAATTTAAACATCTGATGCCTCCCGGACATCCTTCCTGGACGTACAGGGCGTCCCGGACGTACGGGGCATCCTGGACATACAGGGCATCCTGGACATACGGGGCGTCCCGGACGTACGGGGCGCCCTGGACGTACGGGGCATCCCGGACGCACCGAGCAACCCGACGTGCGGGGCACCCGGAACGTGCAGGGCTTCCCGAACTTGCGGGGCAACCTGACTTTAGCAGGGACACATTATACGGACCGGAGGTTAACGACCCGGACATACGGGGCTTCCCGGACGTACGGGGCATCCTGGACGTACAGGGCGTCCCAGACATATGGGGCATCCTGGACATACAGGGCATCCTGGACATACAGGGCATCCTGGACGTACAGGGCGTCCCGGACGTACGGGGCATCCTGGACGTACAGGGCATCCTGGACATACAGGGCGTCCCGGACGGACGGGGCATCCTGCCTTAGCAGGGACACATTTATACAGACCCGAAGGTTTTACAACCTGGACATACAGGGTTAGATATGCAGGAATAAACATGAGCCGCGGGGCGACATATGTGCTGACATGCTAGGAACCACCACCAGTTATATGCATACGTACCAATTTTAAGGTTGGAGAGACCTTTGGATAGCCAGCACGGCATTGAGGTCAGGGCGAATGTAGGATGAGAAAGCGGAGGAGGACCACCATCCGAGTTGTTGCAGGGATGAGGATGAGACACCTTGATTAGCAGCGGAAGTAGCTGCGCCTATTCTAAAGGAATGCCCCGTGTATAGAAGGGGTGATAACACGGATTTAATGAGGACTTGTTTTAAATAGATATTGAACTGTTGTTGAGTTAAAGGAAAATTCCCTGAGATAAGGAATAATGGTGAGAGAGCATTAGAGGTAGGTCTAAGCTGTAGGAATGTGATCATGGATTTATAAGGGCAGAACTGGGAGTCGATGCGGGTGGCGATGACGGAGCAGGCGCCGCCGCATTTGGAGTGTTTAACTGTATCATTTCAATTTGATCTTTAATTGTAGTAATCTTTAATCTTGTGTGAATCTGTGCTGTCCTGTTTTTCCATCTCACCCTGTTGCTGTTTGAACATCTGAATTTCCCCACAGGATTAATAACGATCCATCTTATCTTAACTTATTGTTGGCGCCATAATGTATTTAGTTTTTATTTTATCTGTACAAGTTGAATGTATCATGCAGTTCCAACAGTGAACACAGGATGGAGCATTCAACTTGTGAGTGCATATAGGTAATCACTGAATGGTAACAGAAGAAGCAACGTGGATACAATCAATATGATGAATATATGGAACACAAAATAAAGGATATTCAAGGATATACGACTCATTGTTTTATAGTCTGGAACACACAACGTTCTCCCGTTCACATCCCTCAGTGGCTTGAGTATAGATTAGGTTAAAAAATCACTACACTTATCTTATTATTATTATAGTTCCTGTAACCCTTTTCCATGTGTTCCCTGTGCTCCAGTTGTCACAGCTTCTACAGTAAGCGTTACTCCAGAGCTCTGTACCTGGGGGCGAAGGCCATCCAGCTGAACAGTAACAGCGTGCAGGCGCTGCTGCTCAAAGGAGCCGCGCTCAGGAACATGGGGAGAGTTCAGGAGGCCATCATCCACTTCAGAGAGGCCATGCGCCTGGCCCCCTGCAGGCTGGACTGCTACGAGGGTACGTTAGTGTTCTCACTGTTCACCGGCTTGAGCTTCAATCTCAGGATCCATGTATCTGTGATCCTCTCCAGAATGGAAGTAGTCATCACATACAGAGCATCAACTAGTTCCTGAACAGTGTCCTTCACATGCTGATATCCAAGAGAGGGAGTTACACAGTCACAAGATGGAGGAATTATGACTTTTTCCTCAAAATTCTGACTTTTTCTCAAAATTCTGACTTTTTTTCTCAAAATTCTTACTTTTTCCTTAAAAACTCAAAATTCTTACTTTTTCTGAATACTTTAAAGGTGACCTATCATTACAAATGCACTTGTGTACGTCTTTTATACATGAATATGTGTCCCCGGTGTTCCAGAGAACTCACCAAATGTCAGGAAACACAACCCTCTCTATTTTCCTCCATACCCAAATCTCTTAAAAAGGGGCTGCAACGGATCTGATACAGACTGATCCAGATTTGAACACTTCTGTGACGTCACAGAAGTGGCGCTACGGCTATTGGGCCAACTCCACCAATCAGGAGGAGACAGCCACGGACATTGCCGTTCGAAAGCGCTGGAGACGCTGTAGTACATATGCCAGGCCTGTAGATGGTGCTGTTCTCACAGAATCAGCCCATGAAAAGACAGTGTTAAATTGAGCGAAATGAGGAATGGCTAAAATGCATGATCTGTTTGAAAAATAAAAAGTATAAATATGCCTTTATATAGGTATGGTCCTACACTATATTATTCAAACATAGCATGATAGGTCCACTTTAAAATGTTAATAATCACTCGTCACCGGCTTGAGCTTCAATCTCAGGATCCATGTATTTCTGATCCTCTCCAGAATGGAAGTAGTCATCACATACAGAGCATCAACTAGTTCCTGAACAGTGTCCTTCACATGCTGATATCCAAGAGAGGGAGTTACAGTCACAAGATGGAGGAATTATGACTTTTTCCTCAAAATTCAGACTTTTTCTCAAAATTCTTACTTTTTCCTTAAAAACTCAAAATTCTGACTTTCTACAAATTCTAACTTTTTCTCAAAAATGTTCTTCAAAATTCTTACTTTTTCTGAATACTTTAAAGGTGACCTATCATTAAAAATGCACTTGTGTACGTCTTTTATACATGAATATGTGTCCCCGGTGTTCCAGGGAACTCACCAAGTGTCAGGAAACACAACCCTCTCTATTTTCCTCCATACCCAAATCTCTTAAAAATAATAATAATAATGCATTTTATTTATGGGCGCCTTTCAAAGCTCTCAAGGACACCTTACAGAGCATAATTAAAAACAATCAACAAAGAAGAGCACACAGTAATACAAGACTTAAAAAAAAAATACTTAAATAACAGAGACTTAAAAAACAGAGACTTAAAAACAACAATCAGTTTAGCATAGATTAAGAAATAGAATACGCCAGTTTAAAAAGGTGTGTTTTCAGGCTGTATTTGAAGGGTGGGAGGGAGTCCATATTGCGGATGTCTTGTGGGAGAGAGTTCCAGAGACGGGGGGCAGAGTGGCTGAAGGCTCGTGACCCCATGGTGATCAGGCGGGCAGAAGGTACAGTGAGTTGGAAGGCAGAGGAGGATCGGAGAGTACGAGAGGGAGTGTAGATGTGAAGGAGCTCAGAGAGATATGGAGGGGCAAGAGTGTGAAGGGCCTTGAAGGTGAGGAGCAACACTTTGAAGTCTATGCGGTGCTTAACGGGGAGCCAATGGAGTTGTTGGAGAACCGGAGTGATATGATTAATGAAAGGAGTTCTGGTGATGATACGGGCGGCTGAGTTTTGGACCTGTTAAGATGGATCTGATACAGACTGATCCAGATTTGAACACTTCTGTGACGTCACAGAAGTGGCGCTACGGCTATTGGGCCAACTCCACCAATCAGGAGGAGACAGCCACGGGCATTGCCGTTCGAAAGCGCTGGAGACGCTGTAGTACATATGCCAGGCCTGTAGATGGTGCTGTTCTCACAGAATCAGCCCATGAAAAGACAGTGTTAAATTGAGCGAAATGAGGAATGGCTAAAATGCATGATCTGTTTGAAAAATAAAAAGTATAAATATGCCTTTTATATAGGTATGGTCCTACACTATATTATTCAAACATAGCATGATAGGTCCACTTTCAAATGTTAATAATCATTCGTCACCAGCTTGAGCTTCAATCTCAGGATCCATGTATTTCTGACCCTCTCCAGAATGGAAGTAGTCATCACATACAGAGCATCAACTAGTTCCTGAACAGTGTCCTTCACATGCTGATATCCAAGAGAGGGAGTTACACAGTCACAAGATGGAGGAATAGAAAGCAGTATTCAATGTTTACTTCAGATTAGCTCCACGTCAGAAATGAGCATGCTTGATGTCTATCTCCATAGAGTCTGAATCCTCATGTTAATCACATAGCTATCATATGCCTCAACAGTCCTGATGCTCTTCTAGGTAATCACACATCCTGTCATGTTCACAGCTACAGTTGGGATACCTTTGTTATCACGTTACTCTCATGTTGGAAGAGGACATTCAGTATTTTCCCAACACTTTGCATTCAATGTGGAAGTTACTTAAATCCAAACACCAAAGTCACACAATTACGCCCCAAAAACGTACCGGTTGTTGCAGCGGTAGACCAGCGACTCATGTGGAGAAATAACTGGATCTAAAAGAGCATAGATAACCCCTGAACAGCACGGTAGAGCGCTAAATATATCCAAAATAAAGCTTAAACTTTTACAATCAAGGTGGCTAAAATATGCTTTTTTTTACATTTCTCCAGCTGTTGGTCCACCTACTACCATCCATCATACAACCCAACTTCAACACACACAAACTATCCCTTTAATAATTACCACACACACACACACACACACACACACACACACACACACACACACACACACACACACACACACACCCAACAACAACAACAACAACAACACAGACTATGCTATAACACCCCTTGTTGTTAAATACCAATATATATATATAATATATATTTATGCCGTTAATAGATGTGCAATATATACCTGGCTGCTAAATCTCAGAACAGTTTCAGGATGTGTATTTTGTAAATTGTGTAATTGTGTAATTTGTAATGCATGCTTCTTGGTTAATATCAAGCTGTCTTTGTCTCTGTTCTGCTGTAACACTTCCCCTCTGTGGGACCCATAACGTTTCTGATTCTGAGACTAACTGTCCCCTCTCAAGGTCTGATCACGGTACAGCTTTAAATATATCCAAGATCAAGCGTAAACTTTTACAATCAAGGTGGCTAAAATATGCTACCTACTACCATCCTGCAACCCAGCTTCAAAACACCCAAACCATCCCCCTTTAATTATTACTAACTAAAAAGGCCTGAAAACGCATCTTTTTAGAATAGCCTTTTACGAGATCTGTAAAACCCCCACTTGTTGCCATGCCAACCTAAACGTTATTCTGTTGTTTACTTTATTATGTATTTATTTGTTGTTGCTTATTTTGTTGTTGTCGCTTGTAAATCAAATTGATTCTGACTCTAACTTGTCCCCTCTCAGGTCTGATCGACTGTTACCTGGCGTCCAATGGGATTCGAGAGGCGATGGGCATGGCGAACAACATCTATAAGACTCTGGGCGCTAACGCTCAGACGCTCACCATCCTGGCCACCGTGTGCCTGGAGGACCCCGTGACGCAGGAGAAAGCTAAAACTCTGCTGGACAAAGCCCTCGCTCAGAGGCCAGACTACACCAAGGCTGTGGTGAAGAAGGCGGAGCTGCTCAGTACGTACCATTCAGGGTTTCATTCTGCCTTTTACTAATGATTAAGGCAGCTCAAAGACTTCATTTCCTCACTAAGACCATTTATTTTCACTTTGTATTATGTGGTCTATAATATGTCTGAAAATAGTAAAAAAGATTCTTTAAATATCTTGTTTTATCAGTCGAAAACCCAAAGATATGAACTTTAGTTTGATATGAAACAGAGAAAAGCTGAGTACGTACAACACATGGTTTCATTTGTATTTTTAAGGCAGCTAAAAGACTTGATCTCCTCAGAGCTTCCTACATTAATTAGGGCAACTAATGCAATTTATTTAAATGTTGTATTATGTGTTTGGTCTATAACATGTCAGAAAATAGTGAAAAATATTTCTTAGATTTACTATTTGTATTGAAAGTTATACTCCACGTTGTGTATTGTATATTATTACCTTTTTTGGTTTATATAAATATTATTTTATTGCGTTTTTATTCATGTTATTTTCTCTAAAATGTCACAAGGCCACTACTAAACCATACTTACTTGTTTGCCTGTCCTTGTTTGTCTACCCTCCCTCATACTGTAAAGCGTCTTTGAGTTGTGAAAAGCGCTATATAAATAAAATGCATTATTTTTATTATTACCATAGCACAAGAATTCACAGAAATTACAATTTGTTCGGTTATATCATGAAAATGGATGTGGGATAGGAGCATTTTCTATTGGTATACCGATACCAGTGAGACTTGAACAAACACTCCTTTATTATCACTTACAGATTAATTTAGGAAGTTAAAAATGATCTTGTTATAAAGGTGTGTATATTGTGACGTCCTTAGGTCGGGAGCAGAAATACGACGAAGGCATCGCTCTCCTCAGGAACGCTCTGGCCAATCAGAGCGACTGCGTGCTGCACAGGATGCTGGGAGATTTCCTGGTGGCCGTCAACGATTACCAGGAAGCCATGGATCAATACAGCATAGCACTCAGGTAACCAGGGAGGAACACACCTGAGCAGAATGAGAAGGATTTCGTTATAATCATTTTGTGTAGTGTCCTGGCCTGGCTCTTGGCCAAAAAAAAAACTTGGTAAGGACACGATATAAGGAAAGATATTGTTTATAACCACTTAACAAAAGAGCTACCACGATGGGATGTGTTAATCAGTAAGATCAGTAGTGTGGGTGCGTGAACGAGGTGTTGAATGCCAGTCCTTTGACGGTACTCGATGACGTAGCATCCTTGAAATAGTGGCTCTGGAGCAGCCTTCCTCGACATTGAGAAACACCCTCTGGCTCGGGCCTTTCACTCCTCCGGTACCGGCGGCCAGGTGCCCTCAATCAGCGCTGATAGGGAGGAAGGGAGATCGTTAAAGGTCCATGCACACACACCAGGAGAGAATGAGGCAGGGGTCGTCACAGTAGTGTCTGTTAGTCAGTTTTCAGAATCAAGTTTAGTGCCAGGTGCGTTTACACATACAAGGAACTAGCTTTGGTATCTGGTGCTGCGAACATAAACAATCTAAACAAATGAATTGCAAAGTAGATACAAAGTAATTAGAATAATAATACATGGAATATTTAAATCTGAGGCCATGGTTCTCAGCAGGAAATCGATGGACTGTCCACTTCAAGTAGGGAATGAGTCCTTACCCCAAGTGAAGGAGTTCAAGTATCTCGGGGTCTTGTTCTCGAGTGAGGGAACAATGGAGCGTGAGACGGGCCGGAGAATCGGAGCAGCGGGAGCGGTACTGCAGTCGCTTTACCGCACCGTTGTGACGAAAAGGGCGCTGAGCCAGAAGGCAAAGCTCTCTGTCTACCGGGCCATTTTCATTCCTACCCTCACCTATGGTCATGAAGGATGGGTCATGACCGAAAGAACGAGATCGCGGATACAAGCGGCCGAGATGGGTTTTCTCCGCAGGGTGGCTGGTGTCTCCCTTAGGGATAAGGTGAGAAGTTCGGTCATCAGGGAGGGACTCGGAGTTGAGCCGCTCCTCCTTCGCGTCGAAAGGAGCCAGTTGAGGTGGTTCGGGCACCTAGTTAGGATGCCACCTGGGCGCCTCCCTAGGGAGGTGTTCCAGGCACGTCCAGCTGGGAAGAGACCAAGGGGTAGACCTAGGACCAGGTGGAGGGATTATATCTCTTCGCTGGCCTGGGAGCGCCTTGGGATCCCCCAGTCAGAGCTGGTTGATGTGGCCAGGGAAAAGAAAGTTTGGGGCTCTCTGCTGACCACGGATAAGCGGGAGAAGATGGATGGATGGATGGAATATTTAAAGCGCTTTTCCTAATGCTCAAAGACGCTTATAAGGATAATAAAATATAAGCATTTTGAAGAAACAATTTAGCATTAAAAAGGATGCTAAAGAGAAGTATTCACACCATTTAGTCACATTTAAATAATTGTTATCCCTCATCTTTAAGTCACTACTTAATTTTGTCACTTTTTGATTTAGTCTTATGCTGCGTTCACACCGGACGCGATGCGAATATTCGTTTTGTTCTAAACGCTCGAGTTTCACCGCGGCTGCCAGCTGTGTTTACTCGCATCATTCAAACAAGATGCAAGGGAGCTACAACTACAACAAAATGAACATATTTGACCGTGATTTAATTTTAATACACGTTTCAAAATGATGCCGAAGTAACAACATACTGATACCGGTTAGTAAAAACCATGAATTAATGCTTTGACAAGTCTGCAGACAGACGGCAGGCGAAAAACCTTTTTAGAATGCTTGTTTTCTGAATGGAGCTTGGCTAAGCTAACGTTATATATGCTCCGACCGTCCACACTCACAACAACGGCCTATACAGACATAAATAAACCAGCGACTGTATTCTCCATGACACAGGCAGTCTGTGGTTTGTACTTGTTTCACTTTTGTCTAGTTTCTGAACAGATATGAGGAGCTGTGAGCTCTGAGGGCTAACAGCTAACGGCAGGCTGAGATCCTCACCGCTGATTGGCTACCGCGAGATCGCGTCACGGGAATTTGACGGTCGAGTTGAGAAAATTGAACTTGAGCGTTTGTCGCGGCCCCCTCCAATCGCCTCAATCGCGCCGCGGCATTCGCATCAACTGCTTCATGCTCGCCGTCGGAGCGAATTCGCGTCTGTCCCCGTCTCTGCTTTGACTTTACATGTAATCGCACCGCCCCCAAACATCGCGTCCGGTGTGAACGCACCCTTAGTCTTTCTTCAAATGTCAACGTTTCCTTTTTATAGAAGTTATACATTTTTTTTTCAATTCGAGTTCTAGGACCACAATTACAGCACAGACACATTTAAATAACACCAATGATAATGTGAATGCATAATTATAGAAATAAATATCCTCTGTCCTCAGCCTGGACCCTAACGACCAGAAGTCCCTGGAGGGGATGCAGAAGATGGAGAAGGAGGAGAGCCCCACGGACGCCACGGTGGAGCTGGACGGAGACGACATGGAGGGCAGCGGAGAGGACGGAGACCTGGAGGGCAGCGACAGCGAGGCGGCGCAGTGGGCCGACCAGGAGCAGTGGTTCGGGATGCAGTGACCCCCCCCAAACTGAGGGAGGAACAGCCCCCTCTCATCCTCCAGGGGGGAGACAGGACTACAGGCCTCATTTGTTTCCCAAAATCCAGATAAACACATCGGTGAGGAGCGGAAAGTCTTTGCAGTACACGCTCAGCCCCAGGGGAAGTCAATGGTCAGTAATTGTGAAGATACATCTAATGGGATTCTACGTGATTAGAGCTGCAACTAAATTATCTTCATTATCGGTTCACTGTTTGGTCCAGAAAATGTCGATTTTAGTTTCTAGAAGTCTTTATTTGTCGGTTTCAAGAAACCATTCATTCACAACTTGATATGTGACAGAGCAAAGCATTACATCTCCACATTTCAGCGACCGGGGAATGAATGAAATGGTCAGTAATTGTGAAAAGTAAGATAAATATTTGACTTTATTTCTGGAACTCTACCTGCATTAGAGCTGCAGCTACATTACTTTCGTTATCGGTTCACTGTTTGATCCAGAACACTTCTATTTTAGTTTCTAGAAGTCTTAATTTGTCGGTTTCAAAAAGCAATTTATTCACAACTTGATATGTAACGGAGGGAAGCAGTAAAACGTCCACATTTGACGGACTGAAAAACAGCATTTTTTAGACTAAATCAATGCAAGTCATCGGGAACCTAATGTGTTTTTAATATAAGTGATCATGCTCATAAGGCTCCGCAATACCTTCAGTCAGTTAGGGTCTTATTTTGTCCGTTGAAAACCAAACTATTGTCGCTTTAATCCGATACAAACCAATTAAAGCAGCAGGAAATCTACACATGGCACAGGCTGAAAGAAACAGCATTTAGGACATTTTCCCACTTTCATTTGATTTACATATTAAAGAGGTCCTATGCTGTATGTCAATGGTCTGCAGAGGCTCAAATCCTTGTGTTCCCTTCCAGAGGCAGCTTCTCTCTATTTCTCTCTCTTTAGGTCAATCCACTACTGACTACATGTTGAAGAACCAGCATGTTGTAATGATTAACTCAACTTATTTTTACCACCTCATGACTTGTAGATGTGTGTGGAATATAATAATCATGCCACACACGATTAGCGCTATGTTTTGAGAGCGTGAACCCCAAACATATTGACTTTATTTGGATAAATAACTGGATTTCTTCCACGTATTAAATGCAGAAAACGACAATTTCTGTGTTTTTTTTCCCCCGTGAAAATGTGTGCGTTATCAAAACATTTGCCAGTTATTTTTCTGTGTCCTGCAGCTCTAATTGGAATAGTGTGCCAGGTAGTGCATCTTAAAGTTACATTCACTCAAAGCTAAGTGTCAGTTTGTTCAAATATACTTAAAAAGAGCTTCTTTGGATGTTTCTCTGGGGTGGAGTTGTTCGGCGACGGCGTGATGGGAGATGTCTTTGAGGCCAAGTATACGTTTCCGTCACGAGTCACAGGAGGGAAATGAGAATATTTTGAAATGAGTGTTTTATTTGAGCCACAACTCTGACATTGAAACAGCGTCAGTGAAAAAGAGACTGTATCTTTAAGCTCTTTAACGAATATCCTAATTTGTGTTAAAATGTACATGTTTATTATTATTCTGTGTCTTTTTCTGAGTCGGCCTTTGTGTGTCAAAATAACCCTACAATTGACTCAAGTGTTACTTAAAATGTTTATAGTATTTTGTACATATTTTTAAAGTGTATAATAAAATAATTAAACACTCTCACTTGACACGAACAGAGTGATCCAGTTTCTCATGCGGAAAGCAATATATGAACAAAAAGAAAGTCCTTATTTCTGTTTCAATCCACAAATACCTCTTATTGTTTAAAACCCCATTGATTCACCAACGTTTATCCAACGCAGGGAAACATTTTCTTTTATTAGAGGAACATAGAAAATGCATTTATATCCACAAATTAGGAGGACTATTATATCTTTTACTACTGTGACATCAATCTGACGCTGTGGAAAATGTATTTTAGGTGTATTTACCGATTTAAATTCTGCTTCTTGGTTGCAATTCTCCAAGTCATGGGCAAAGCTTTTGCACATTCATTCAAATGAATTTGATTTGGATGATGCAACTAAAGGTATACATGCACTAATTAACTAAGGATATAATTCAATATAAGCTTAAATAACGTAATAATACATAATACATAATACATAATAATGTAACTGGGGGGGAAACTTCTGAAGCAATTGGAAGTCTGGATGGGTGGCGCAGTGGTCTGTGCATCCGATCATCAGATCAAGGGGGAGTGCTGGGGAAGGTATAAATGCACTAATTAACTAAAGATATAATTCAATATAAGCTTAAATAAATAATGATGTAACTGGGGGGGAAACTTCTGAAGCAATTGGGAGTCAGGACTCAGAGAGACACGAGAAGAGCTGGAGCTTTGATGGCAAACACTGACGGTTTATTTGGAGCTTCGGCCGGAGAATTCACAAGACATGTCACGGGCCACAGTCTGACCACACGGTTGAGATGCCACCATCAATCCTGAAGACCCCTCCTGTAGCTCCAGGTTTTAACTCGTTCAGAGTGTAATAATCAACATTCTTCAATAGACTAAACAGCTGAGGACACTGAATCACATTTGTTGTCGCTTATGGCTCGAGGTCATCTACACCAGGGGTTCCCAAAGTGGGGGTAGCAAGATGATTACTAAATACAAATTGAAAATTAAAACATTTTTATTAATATTCGTTATCAATTTTTGTATTTATGTTACGTCCCCACTAAGGTCTAGGGGACCTGGAGACAATAACATACAACCAATAAAAAATGAGGGAGTCAGCGTAACAGTTTACAAAAGGTTTATTTTGTAAACCCAGAACCGAACAGACATATAACTGAAACCTTAGTTGGGGAGGAGGAGGAGGAGGAGGAGGAGTCAAAGGATTGCGGCAAACAAAAGAAACAAGCATAACAAAACCAGGCCTATCTCTACATCTATCCTTTGAAACCAAAACTCAAACAAAAACCCTCACTAACTAAACTACGAAGAAGTTGACAAAACAATATACAGGGGTGGCAACAATCCGCTAACCTAGTGTGTCTAAACATTAGTTAGCTACGTGCAGAGCTATATAGAGAGAAGAGTTACGACAACGGAAGTCCAAAGACGGTTATCGTCACGTGGTTCATGTAGACGAGGATCGTTCCCCGGAAGTTCATGGCGGGCAATGTGAATGCATTGATAACAGGAGATAGAACTACGATTTTTGGTAATATGTAGTGAATAAAGGTTTTGATTTGCAATATTTATACAACAAATCGATGTGTATGTATTTACATCAGTATTTGAAAAAGTTAAATTTGCTAATATTTGAGGATTAAGATAAAATAAGAAGTACTTTATTGATACCAATTTGGGAAATGTTTGCTTTGCAGCAGCAAAAGACAAGGCATTGTACATAAGACAGTTAAAAGACTAGAATTAAACAATCGAAAATGTAAACATCTCAAATAGAAATAAAATAGCAGAAAATATACATATGTGTGAACATTACCTGTTAACATATACATGGTTAAAGAGCCTGTTGCTGTTGTTTATTGCTTTGAATTGTTTCAAACAAATATTATCTTCTTAAACTTGAATGGTAGTCAGGAGCATCACTTCCTAATGTTTGATATATTTAGAGGGAGGGAAGGAAGGTTTCAAAATTCAGATTAGATTCATTTCTACAATTTCTTTAATTCATGGTGGTTTCAGTAATCCCCTGGTAATTGAGGACACAAGTAATCTAAATAAGTAATGTCTTCTTTATGACTTTCAGAAAGGACAGGAGACCGGCAGGTGCCTATCAATGATTGTCAACTGACAGTAAATAAATGGAATTCAATAAACATTGAATAGCATGAATGCAGTTTGTCTGTGCCTTTTCCTCCGTGTTGTCCTGGCATATCGTCTCCCCCATGGTTTGCTGTGCTGCCGGGGGATGCTCCAAGCGCTCAGAGAAAGGAGTATGAATGTAAGGTTTCCCCACTGACAGAGAGGAGGAAAGAATGGCTGGCTCAAGTCAGCAGGAGCAATTTAACTATCACAAAAGACAACAACAGCAACAACATATGTGAGGTAATCATATTTTTCACAAAACGAAGACCACACCATCGGGAAGCTTAACGTCTGTTTAATCAAAATAAGGAACAGGGAGAGGCTTGCAAAGCTCTGGGAGTTGAGACTCAGGTGAGGGTCTCATTGCAGGTCTTCAGGCTCCATTGAATCCCCGTGGGGTTCTTGTGCTGAAAGAGGGAGACAGGAGAAAGGGTTAGATACATCTAGCAACCTATAGGATGGGAAATTGCTGACCTATTTTAAACGTACCTTGTGTTTTCACTCACTTAAGTCCCTCTCCCTTTGCCATCAATCCAAAATCAGCTGAGCTGCAACATAATACAGACGGGTAATAATCAACAGAATCACAAGGACATAATATGACTCTGCTAAAAACACTCACCAATCAGTTACGTTTTAGTTTACTGTTTAGAAGTCTCAAATATCCACTCTAAATCCAAATAAATAGCGATGTATCACAAACATAGCTCTCTTCCTTACAGTGGCGAGCCGTGACTTGTATACCTAGGCCCTCTGACCCCCCTTCCCTCGGAAAAAAAAAGAAGAGATATTACGTCACAGCGTATACTTCAGCGGAATATCAAAACAGCGGCCCGGGGTGCAAAACGCATCAATGACATCCCTCTACCACACAAAACAACACCATTTATATAAACACCTATCATGACAGGCTCCCTTACTTACAGCTAAGTAACAATTGCAAATGAATTAAGTCGGCATGGCGGCCCACATTGAAAATGACTGAGGCCTACCTTTGATGATCAAATCACTGAAACACAAAGTCCATCCTCCTGTCCTTTTGGATGAAGCACTTGATGGCGGGTCATGCAGCTGATCCTTTGCCACTCCAGTTTATCATTGTAACTCAATCTTGAAAATGACTCGGTTAATAATTTCGCAACGATGTCATCACTATCACTGAAGTGAGCCATCATGAACGAACTTATGCTAATTATAAATCTATCGATCATAAATCTATCGTTTAGATTTATGATTCAAAAATAATAAAAGTAGGTTAGACATGTGGATATTATCCGGCTGAACAAAACGTGCATTTATTTAACAGTTTCGTTTTCCACAGACCTTATTTCGAGCTATTTTCCAAAATCCTATGGAGAAATGCCACTGCTTTCTGTCGAGGGAACCCGAGCGCAGCTTACTTCCGGGTTATAGGATGCGTCACTGCACCACTTGCATAGACCTCACAGCGGGCAGAACTTGTCATAAAGTCCGCGAAAATAAAGCCCGCCCATTTAGAGTGAAGATATGATTGGTCAATTGTACTGTCATTTGACATTACTCTCTCATTGAGTTACTGTAGCGGGCCCTCTGTGAATGTAGAGAGGGACCAACAAGCTCTCCCGTCTTCACATAACTCGCAGAGACGGCATTTAACCCTTCACATTCCAACAGAAACTGAACAGGCAGATTCGAAGGATTTATTTCTTTGGAAATATTATTTTAAATACAATTAAATCAAGTTATTTTGGTAAAACTAATGAAAAATGTAACAACAACAACATATAAAAAAAAATGTTTTTTTATTAATGTTTTCAAATATTATTTTTTAGAATATCTTAGGCCCTGACGGCTCGCCACTGCTTCCTTATTATTGTGTAACGTTAACTATATTATACTAGCTTGAACTCCAAGATGGATATCCTCATTTCTCCACCCACTACAATCACACGCCCCAATGTTATATTTAACTAATATGTAACTCCCTCCACCCCGGATAAAAGCACGTTAAGAAGCCCCTTTTCTCTAATTCCACAACGTTGGAGGAAATAACATTAGGAGAACGGATTAATAGGCTGTTCGTGGTTAACGTGTGTTGCTAACTTTATCCGGTATCCTAGCCTAATCTGTTATCTGTAAACGTTAAATATACTGATTGAAGGGATAATCCACTAACATCCTTTAATACACATGTGTAGTTAATTTGATTCAGATGTTCTGATAATATCCGCAATATAAATCTTTAAACGTCTTCTTACCTTCAAAAGTCCATCACGAACGGTCTATTATGCTGCAACCATAGACTGCTAGCCGCAGATCCTCTCAATCGTTCCCCGGAAGTTAGCGGCAAGCTAACTTCCGGGGAACGATTGAGAGGATCCACGATCCGCCATTGCTGTAAAAAACTGGTCCATTGGAGTGAACGGAGATGTGGTAACTCTTCTATTATATGGCTCTGGCTACGTGGTGAGAAATGTACAGGGTACCCCAGACTTACCTAACTCCTCCACCTCTCAACACACACACTTTCAAAAGGGTCAGACAATACAAGGAGCATGAGTTGCTAAACACTGCAGTCTATTGCAGGCTCCTCAATCAGCAACAGGCCCAGAGTGAGAGAGCGAGAAGACTTCCTGGGTGCCTCCTTTATGGTCGGCCCTGGCTGCTGATAGGCCAGCTGAGGGGGAGAGGATCCAATCAGCCATCAGACTCAGGTGCACAGGCAGATACCGATCAGCTGTGCAGAAGACAGGGAGAAGAGAGAAACACAGGAGGGAAGGAAAACCACACCAGTACAGCCTGCCTGGCACGTAACACCCCCACACATATAAATCCAAACAGTATGTTTGGACCTTACAATGAACATTCTATTTACATAGCACGAGATAGTGCATCGGCAAGAAC